ACGAACGCCGCGCGACGACGGGGAGCCCCAGAGGTGCCCTGGCGAGTGCGCGCAGCCCCTCGCGCCGGGCGGGACCTGTTCCGTGCCCTCTCCCGGCCGTGCCCTTCGGAGACAGAGTCCCCGGCTCAGACCGCCGCAGGGCCGCCTCACTGCGGTTGTTTGTACTGTCTTCGTTGTCGTTGGTTGTCCTTGTCTTCCTTGTCATGATTCCTCATTCACGGTGGTTGTGTGAACTTCGTGTTTTTTTATTTCGTTATTTTTGTTGTAACTCTAAATTAGATAGAGACGGGGGTCTCGCTCTTGCTCAGGCTGGTCTCGAACTCCCGACCTTGAGCGATCTTCCCGCCTCGGCCTCCCAGAGTGCTGGGGTCACAGGCGTGAGCCACCGCGCCCAAACGTGTTTTTAGAATAAATATGTTTTGACAAAAGTGTCCATTCGAAGTAACGTATCACTAATGAGTAACCGCAGATGTGGTTATAAACAACCTTGCAGACGATTTTCGGGTGACCGGAGTGTAGACGACAAGGACACGGTGACGTGGCCTGGAGCTCCAGTCCCGCCTCCGTGCGGGCCGCGCCTGCCTCGGTGCCTGATTCTCCGAGCTAAGGAAATGGGGCTGTGACGGGGGACGGCTTAGTTCTCTCTGCGGACCGCACCCTGCGCCCCGGGAAACGCTGCTTTGGAATGCCTGCAAAGATTTGGAATCTCCGCATCAGCAACGGCCCCTCCTACAGCGTAGCGTTTTCCTCTGTGAGCAGGGCCCGGCCAGCACTGTACTCCGGTCGCCGTGCGTTAGGGGCGACCCTCGAATGACCTTCCTTTGCGTTTTCGACCTCTGAGGACTGTGCTTGCACCCTGGCTCTGTGCAGAGGCGCCAACCTAAATTATTTCTCTCACGTAATTAAAAAGAGCTCAGTTAATGGTGGGTTCGTTTTTGCTCACGAATATCTAAATCGTTATAATTAACCAAGAGACGATTCCTTAGTATAAACGTTTTACCTGGAGTAGTTTGTTGTATCCAGAAAAGAAAAAACAGGCTAAATTAAAGGCGTGTCTCTTACTAACCACCACTGTTCTCTCTTATTTTAGTCTTCATCCTCATCTCTACTCAAGAGCATACATTAATTTTAGAAACCCTGATGACATCCTTCTTTTTAGAGATCGTTTCGATGGATATGTCTTCATTGACAGTAAAGGTTAGATCATTTGCGTTTTTAAACTCTATTATAATCTGTAAGTATATTAATGAAGTTTTGATGGAATATTTGTGAGTTTTAATTAAGTTCTCAGAGAGTAAAACAAGATCATAAATTTTGATTATGTTACTGTAATTATGTGCTGATATTAAAATTTATTTATAAACCAAAAAATTCCAGAAATCCTATGTAATAGTGACAACCTATGGATGTATTATCATTTATATTTTCATATGAATGAGTTTTCTGGATATGACCTTTTATCTTTTTATGTTCCAAAACTAATTATTTTACCCATGTGTGATAGGAATTCTCTAAAATGCACTGTACACTTACATCTGTGTTTTCATGATTGTACCACTTCTTGGTAACGGGGGGAAGAGGATGTAATGCTGAACCTCGGTCACCGGCAGCTGTTCGGCAGCAACATTTACCTCTGCTCTGTGTGTTTCCAATTCCCTGTGCTTCTGGGGTTCTGCTTTTGATGTTTTTCCTGCCTCCTCTCCACCACTGTTTCCACTGCTGTTGAGTCTGCATACCTCTCACAGCAAACTGTTTTTTGCCTTCCCTCCCCTCGCCAGCCAGCCTCTCCTCCCCGCCACCCGCCCCTGCACTCAAGTGTCTTCTTCTCCTCCACTGGGGGATAACAAACTAGAAAAGGTTGTAAAAGAGTGACTAAGTTGAGGGCCAGGACATTTCCTGTGAGTAAAATCAAGGTTAGTGCTTAAACTAGTTGACATTTCTGTTGATTGCTAATTTATCCAGTAACATATTCAGTTGCCTTTTTTTACTTTTAAAAAATATTGGTGAAATATGCGTAACAACATTTACTGCCACGCTGTTTTCCACAGCAGCTGCACCATTTTCTGTTCCCACCAGAGCACACAAGAGTTCCAGTCACTCCACATCCTCGCCAACACTGATTTTTAACATTGGCCAGCATCATGGATTTGAGGTGGTATCTCATTGTGATTTCGATTTGCATTTCTCTACCCATTATTGATGCTGAGCATCTTTTCATGTGCTTGTTGGCCATTTGCATATAATCTTTGGAGAAATATCCGTTTAAGTCCTTTGCCCATTTTTTAATTGGATTATTTGGTTGTTTGGCATTGGATTGTAGGAGTTCTCTGTACATTCTGGATGTTAACCCCTTAGCAGATGTGTGATTTGCAGATATTTCCACCCATTCCATAGGTTGCCTTTTCACTCTGTTGATTGTGTCTTTTGATGCCCGGCAGCTTTTAGTTTTGATGTGGTTCAGTTTGTTTATTTTTACTTCAGTCACCTGTGCTTTTGGCGTCACATCAAGAACTCATTATCAAACCTAATATTATGGAGATTTTCTTCCGTGTTTTTTCTAAGCATTTTATAGTTTAAGTCTTACATTTAGGTTTGATTCATTTTGAGTTAATTTTTGTATGCGATATTAGGTAAAGGTTCAAATTCATTTTTTGGTCTGTGGATACCTAGTTTTCCCAATACCGGTTTGTGAAAAGACTGTCCTTTCCCCATTGAGAGGTCCTGGGACCCTTGTTGAAATCATTTGACCATGTATACAAGGGTTTTTCTGGGTTCTCTGTTCTGTCCCACTGGTGTATGTGTCTGCCTTTATGCCAGTACCACACTGTTTAATTACTGTCGCTTTGTGGGAAGTTTGACATCAGGGAGTGTGTTGACTGCCATTCAGTACGTGTCTGTTACATGCCAGGCGTTGTGGACGCAGCAGTGGGTGGACTCTTTCCTGCGGTCCAGGGCCCTGCTTTCCTCCTGATTCTTGACTTTATTCTGGATAGCTGAAGTTGACACAAAAATGTCCTCCAGATAAATGGGAGTTACAGTGTCATGGTCACCTGACCCTAACTGACAAGTTTAAAAATGGTTACTCAGTGGGTTTAGTACTGAGGTAGAAATGTTCCATTTGTTGATTAAGCATATAGCAGACTCTCTAAGTGAACGTTTGTCTCGTGTTTGTTTCCCCCCCACATAATGACAAAATCGTTTTCTAGTGACTTCCATTCTCAACTTTTATATTGGAAACTAATCTTACCTGGAATATTATATATACCCTTTGAAGCCCCTCCTTTAGCCATGGGTCTCTTCTGAGCAAAGTAATTTCCTTAATTTATGTAATAGATTGATAACCTCTTAGAAAGTTTAAGATATAAGTAAGAAACCGGATTATTTAAAGGTATCCCAATGATAAATTATTTGGTGTAAAGGGTAGGGAGGTCAGGTTTATTGAGGTGTAAGTTACATATGGTAAAAATCATCCTTTTAAAGGGAAAAATTTGATGAATTTTGAGTATATTCAGTTATATCACCACCACCACCACGTGATGAATTGTTTCATTTAATAAATAATTGCTCCTCCTACCACCAGTTCATACTTTGTTTAAATCTGGAGTTTGACACGCTAAGGTTGCAGGTGCTGGAAAACATGATTAAATCGTAGTTTAAGCAGTAGCAAAGCATGTCATCGTTATACCTAACCCTTAGGTAAGCTAGATCATAATTTTCCAAAATGAATGTAGTAGAATTTCAGAATGGTTTGGAATGTGTTTCCTGTTAAAGGCCTAGAATACCCTGCGGTGGTGGAGTTCGCTCCGTTCCAGAAGATAGCCAGGAAGAAGCTGAAGAGAAGAGATGCCAAGACCGGAAGCATCGAAGATGGTGAGTCCTTTCCCAGTGCCAAGTTAAGTACACTGATCCAGTGTGATTCCCTGCTGTAGCTGGGGAAGGTTATGCGTATTTTCCTTCTCTCTTTCTAAATTTACAGATCCAGAGTATAAGAAGTTCTTAGAAACTTACTGTGTGGAGGAGGAGAAGGCCGCTGCCAACCCTGAAACGCTGCTGGGAGAGATAGAGGCAAAGACGCGGGAACTCGTTGGTCTGTGTGCTCATTTCTTCTCTTTTCCTTGTTGAGATGTTTATTTATAGAGTATGTATTTATTTCTTTTTCAAGATTATGACAAAAATTGAAACTTGTTATGGGCTTAGCAGAAATGTAGAGTATTTTCCAGTTTTGACAAAAGAATGGCAGAATAGCAGTTTAGGGAAGTATTTCTGAGCATTTGTTGAGGGAGAGCACCTGATTTTTCAGTTACGGTCATTTTGTTTTAAGTCACAGTGCTTCCGCGTGAGCAGCGGCAAGGACAGGTGAGCGCTCTGCACCTGCTGTGTCAGGGAAGGAGCCTTGTGCCACAAAGCCACACTCAGTGCTCTTTGCAGAGAGCAGTGTCCAGGGTGCCTCAGGAGCCCAGAAGAGCGAGACTGCTCATGTGTGAGGTCACCCTACTGCTGTTCAAAAAAAATTTCCGAGCCCCCTGAGCAAGCCAGGCAAACTCAGGGAGTTTGTAAAGGCAGCCAGAGCACAGAACCTGGTTTGAATCCAGCCTTCAACCCTGCACCTGCAAGTGGCATATTTTAGAAGTGGTTACCTCCTCGCAGCAGTGCCCCAAAGGCTGAAGCATAGACATGAAACTCCACCATCCGTCAACAGGCAGACTGCTGTGGTTTCGTCCCAAACACACCTGGTGGTGTCTCTCCTCTCTGTTGGTTTCTGCCCACCCGCCGAGGCTCATTGACATGACAATCACACCGTTTATGATTTATCTTCTTATTTATCGATCTCCCTCCACATAAACTCCTCTCTTGCTTCATCTCTCCACTTCCCCAGGGGAACTGTTTTCTTCTTTGCAGTTGTAGCACAGAGTAGTTTAGGAATGAGCAGATGTTTGTTGAATAAATTGATAAGAAAGGTTAATGTTATTGAAATAGTTCACTAATATTCTTCTTTAGTAATGAAGTTTTTTTGTTTT